TTTTATTTAACCATAAGTTAACCTTCAGTTAACACTTGACTAAGGGAAAACAGGAAAACAAGCTGCAACTGCCTGCTAGAGCATCTCTCTAGTCGTAGAGCATGTTCAAGCATCTATTGTGTTATTTGTTTGTTAGAATGTAAGTTTTTTTTTTTTTGCGCTCTTCTTTATCCATTTACAATTTACACACACACACACACAGGGAGAGAATTTGTATGTTGTTGTAGAATTTGTATCTTGTATCTGTCGCGGCATGTTTTGGCCAACTATTTATAGATGTTTGCTTCAGACGCGGCTATTACAAAATGCATACATCAGCTCTTGCTGCCTGTTGTTGGACGTTGGCCAGCTGTTGGCCCCCAGCTCCCCTCCTTGCTGCTGCTGTATTTTTGGCCAGTTTTGGTAGGCAAATGAAAAAATCAAATAAAATAAAAAAATGAGATCAACTGGCTGACTAATTGCTGATGAGCCGCTCACCTCCCCCTTCCAACCCGAGCCAACTTGGCTAATGCAATGCACGCAAGGCGGAAGCGCCGGCTGCTGCCAATTGACAAAGCCAACACTTTGCGCTATCGCCAGTGGGTGAAGTGTTGCAGGGCGGCTGGGCGGGCAGTGGGAGGAGGCGAAGGTGTTAGGCGGGAGGTCAGCAGGTGTTATTTGCTTAAAAGTAATGCATGCGCCTAAAGTGTGCCAGTTGCTCGAAATGGGCGCAAGCAAAAGGGGGGTTAAATGCCGGAGACTAAAACTAAACTAAACTAAACTATATATATATATATATAGATTCCCGATCGAGCTGCGCTACATACTTGAAATCATTTCAAATCAATAAATCGAGAATATATGGAATTTCAGCTTTGGTTATTTGAGAGAGCTACAGCAACCAAACTTGCTTGCATAAGAGACAAAGTTCTGAAAGTTCTAACTACCTCTTGTGCAGCACAAAGTTGTAAAAGTCACAATTTAAGCAGCTAGTTCCATGTGCTTTGGTATGTGCACACATTTGAGTGCTAAGCTTAAGGCCTGCCAATATGATGAGGGTGCCATCACAAACAGCCAAGTTATTCGGGCAAAGATATGCGCAGCTTGAGGCGCCAGGCTTAAAAGTCAGTTGTAAAGGCAACTGAGTGTTGCGTACAGGGTATCTGCTAGTCGTGCAGCTGCCACACATGTTGTTCCCCTGCTGAACTTGAGCTCAAGTATCACATGTTCTGGCCAATAACAGCAGCAACTGTTGCTGGCGTGTCGATCGCTGCAGTTGCTGCTGCTGCTGCTGCTGCTGCTGCTGTTCTCTGGTTGTTTCCAATCGAAATTGCAAGAGATCGCACATGCCAAACAGATACACACACACACATAAACACACAGATATAAAGATAGCGTATATGTGTGGCAGCCGGCAACAGATGCGTTGCGCACTGTGGCAACATCTTGTGTCCATATGTTGTGCAAACAAACAATTGAAAATGACGCGTAAGCCACGAGTAGCCAGAACATGCGAAAGAAAGCAGCCAAATGAAATGTATCTCAAGAATTGATTTGCCAAGCGAAACAAAAAACACATATACAAATATTATGTATAAAATGAAGAAACGAACGAGCTGTGGCAAGCTTTGTGGCAACTGTTTGCTGTCGTTGCAAATATTTTGACAGGCAGACAGACAGACAGACAGACACGAAACCCGATGACATGCAGGCCACATATGTCAGTTCCATATAGACACATATATATGTATGTATGTATATATTTGTATCTATATCGCATGCTCTGTTGCGATGCATAGATACATTTGTATCTTATGACTGTGATTAGCATATTACAGCTAAATGCTGCTGGCGCCACCTGCAACTTTTACTCAAAAACTGTTAATTAGGGTGGGTTAGGGGGCGACACCTGGCGGCCATACAGACAGCTTGATCAGTTGTTAATAGGTCCAAAAAGTATCCCTGTTCGAGTGCAACTGCAACAGCGCCACCTGTTGGCGGCAAGCTGCAGAATTTAATATATGTTCCAAACTGGGCTATTCAGATTAGAGGATTATTAACCTGTTAACATAGGCTCTTCACACTTTGTTGTTGACGCTGTTAAGCTTTACATTACACAACTTTTCATGTAATCTCTTAGTCTGTTATCCTACTTCACAGAACATTCTAGACTCTGTTAGAGTCTCGTGCATTGTTAATGTGCAATAACATATATGCAACAACAGTTATTTAACAGTTCTCTCATAGACTCTGTTGTAATCAAGAGCTATTCGATGCTGTTAGGCGTCTTTTCTGTAACCTGTCGACTGTTAACAATTACTGTTAAGTTCTTTAGCTGTTAAACTGTTTAATGTGTAAGCTATTCAGCTCTTCTATGTTATGCTCAACACACTGTTAACCTACTAGAACTGTGCTACTATTAATATTTTTAACATTTCTGCAGCTCTTAATCTGCTAAGCTGTTAACCTGTGCGTATGCGTATTCTGTAAACATATTACGCATACGCCGGATGCGACTGCATTCACATATATGTATATGTGAATGTGTATCGCTGTTACTGACCCCATTCAATGGCCTGCTCTTAATATGTTATTTCTGTTTATTTCTTTTGCAGAATTAATTGTTATTGTAATTGTGGCAGCTGCTTGATAAGGCGCCAGTTACATCTACTAGCATACATTTTGCTTCTTCTTGGTTTTGTTTTTGTTTTATTGAAATGTTAATTTAAGAAATTATTTCATTGCAAGACGACAGCAACGTTGACTTCTTCGACTACATGTCATTAACACGCTGATAAGGGTTATCAGCCATCAGCTATCAGCTCATTATGATGGGCACACACACACATAGAGAGAGACACGCACACGCACACCCATGTATAGAGAAATTAGATGATGGACAACAAGCGAGCGCCTTTTATAATTGGCAAAAAAAAAAAATTCAAAAAAAAAAAAAAATTTATTTAAATGTCTTATGAAATTGGCAACGAAATAAAATTTAAATAAATTCACTTTCATATATTTTTCTTTTTCCTTGGGGACTGAGCGCCTTGATAACCCCCAAACTTGACCCAATGTCGTTTGGCCTGACAGACAAAATAATTGTTTAATTAAATTGACAAAAAAAAAAATAAAGAAAGAACAAAATATTTCAAGTATAATCAAATCCGGTCTCAGTTCATTTCTCCAGGGTCTCTCTCTCTCTCTCTCCCTCTCTTTCTCTCTCTCTCTCTTCCACACTCTAGCTATCTCTTTCTATCCATGCTGATAAGAGCAGTGCGTACACACAAGTGTTTCAGCTTCGTGTCTCGACTGCTGACTCTTCTTCAAGCTTTTTAATGGATCTCACATTTTCATGAGTTTTTTTTTTTTTTTTCTTTCTGGTTTCTTATTAATTTGTTACAAACGAGCAAAGGTCAAACAGCTAAAGGTGGAAAAACTGTTTCCCCTTTATACATAAATTAAGAATGAGCGAACATATTTTTGTAGCTATTGCTTTTTGTTTAATATTTATGTATCTGCGTTGTAAAATAGTTCAAGTTCGTTGTTGTTGTTGTTGTTGCTGTTGCTGTTCGTTTCGTGTTGTGTCATCAACACGAAGAAAACTAGATCAAGCGCGCGTGTATCTGTGAGGATGCTGTACAGAAATGTGAGATAGTTTCTTGATGCTTCTACCCCGACTGAAATATACATATGCACACACTTACATCTATATATATATATATACGTATATGTATGTATGCATATATTTTCTAGAAATCATACTCATTAGATAGCGAGATGGTGTCACCATGGCACAAGGAATGCCAACAATATGACAGTATCAAGAAATCAAAGTGTTGCCCTATTCATTACATTCCTTTATCTTCTTTTTTTTTTTGCCCTCACAAATCGTTAGGGTCACACTTTTCGAGCTTGCCAAAATAGAGTTATTTATGTAGCTCTGCTTTGCAAGTGATCTGGGATGAACTGTTAGTTCAGGCCATCTAGAAAGAGACAGTTTTCTGAAGCTAAATTCAACAACTTTGGCAGCTTTATTGCTTCAAGTTAAACTTAATGCACAGTCTTTAGAGATCAAGATATTCGCAAATGTCTTAAAAATTAACAGAATATACTTAAGATTCAAAGTACAATATCTCTTTAAAGAAACGATTCATTAAAGTTTATCCACGTGAAGTTTGCATAACATTATATTAACTTTCATGATTACAAATACAATTCTGAAGAAGAAGTTAACCTGCATTATTCTGTTAACCAATTATCCTGGCACCCTGCTAAGCAATTTTTGAAATTCTAACATTAAGAGTTATGTTAAAATGGATCTACAAAATATTGTTATCATTTTAACCAGCTTAAGATCTCATATAGTCTTTTGGATTATTCTGCTGTTAAACCAAAAGACTGTTAGTTCAAAAAATGTGTGCAATCTTTTTAAGTTATGCTTCCTTATTGCACTGTTAACTGATAACATAGCTAATGCATTATTCAGCTGTTAATCAAAGAGACAATTAGTTCGTAATTATGTTTCCTTCTTGCACTGTTAACTTGAGTTTTGAGTAATTATGTTATCCTGTTAAGCTAAGAACTCTGTAAGTTCAAGGCACCTTAGTTATATTAGTTTATTGCACTGTTAACTCGGGTTTTGCATAATCCTGTTAACCTGTGTCGGTTTAACAATTTTTATAATCCTGTTAATCTCTGACTGTTTGAAATTTTCAATAATCCTGTTAACTTACGACTCTGCTAACGGAGTATTTGATGCGTTCTAATAGGTTTTGCAATGGCTCTGTTAAGTTTAAGTTCAAATAATGCTCTTCACTTGCGACTCGGATTTTGACAGCAATAACAGCATGTGAAGTTCTGTTAATTTGTTGCTCTGCTAACGCGTAATTTAATCTGTTAAATTTGTATGTTATCCTTTTGTTGATCAACAACGCATCGCTGTTAACGTGACTGTTGTAAGCCTTTCAACAGTTATTCTGTTAAGTCAGCCGTCCCGCTACCCGCTACCCGTTACTCACCTTGGCATTCAGCATCGGCACATGGCAGGCGTTCAGAACGAGGACAACGGCGAAGAGGCGCCAGAGCAGCGACATTGCGTGTCGCTGCCGCAACGTCGCGGCGCCCGTTTGGGATCCCGTTGATCCCATCCTTGTGTATGTGTGTGTGTGTGTGTGTGTGCGGGGGGCTTTTCGTTCTCCTTTTTCTATACTTTGTGTGTTTGGCAGCTATTTGGTTATTTTGATTATTTAATTGGGCAGTTTAAGGGTTCGTATTCGAGTTGTTGCTTCTGATGCGTTTAGACGTGATAAAGAAAGAAAAAGGTTACGATGTTTATGGCACTGCAAGTAAAAACAAAAAAACCAAAAAAAAAAAAAAAAAAAAAAAACGGACGAGCAAAACGAATTTTCAGCAATTGTTGTCAACTGTTGCCAGCTCAGGAGCAGGCGAAATATAATAAACGCATAAGCTGCATCAGCAGAAAAACAAAAAACACAAAAAAAAATAATAATAATAATAATGACCGAATTTTATGTATGAAATCGAAAGACAAGTGAACAAAAAAAAATAGCAACAACAACAAGAAAGTCGCAATCAAAACGCGAATTCGTCAGAAAATGCAGATAAAGAAGACGCAAACGGAACAGGAGAATGGGATAAACTCAGCAGACTGAATGAGGCTCAGTGTTGCCAGCTTCAAGCCAATTAGCTATAAAACTCTAGCCAAAAATAGCTAAGCACAATTTGGCATTAGGAACATTTGAGACGCTTTGAGATCGCTAACGATCGCTGAGCATAGCCAAAATTTAGCTAGAAAAAGGCTGAGCGTGCAGCACCGTCTGATCCTATAACCGTTTTTTTTTTTTTTTTGCTTCTCTTTGTGCTGATTTTGCGTGCCGTTTTCTAGTTTTTGGGCTTTTCTTTGATCTGCGCGTCATTTTTTTTTATTTTATTTTATTGCTGCTTGCGTTTTGCATTTCGCGCGCGACATTTATAATTATTTGTTGTATTTGTCATTTGCCGGCCACTTTTTGCTGCTTTTCTTTGCGTTTAATTCGTTTGGTTCGTTCGCGTTGCCCGTGCACTTTGCTGCTTAATTAAATTCAGTTCGCGGCTCAAAAGAACCCAAAAAAAAAAAAAAATACAGAAAATAAAAATGGAAAAATAAACTGTAAACGAAGCCAGCAACAAAGTCGCCGAGGGCACCAAATGTTTTGCGATCCTGCGCGCGCGTTTAACGTTATCCTGCGGAGCACCACAACAGTTATAATTTTCAAACAAAAAAAAAATATATTCAACTTGTAGCACTTTAAAAAAAATATTGTATTTATGTTAGTGTCCGTAGATTGCACTTGAACAACACAAACGGCAACGGGCAAGAAGAAGATGAACAACAACTATTCAGTGAGACAGGCTGGCGGCCAGGCGAATCGCAGTCGCCGTGTCGCAAGGCTTAGGCAAACGCACCGAAAATTGTGCGACCGTCTCGTACAACGGCGCGCAACCGAATGTAAAAGTGGAAGAACTTAGACGCGAACGCCGCTGCACCGCAGAAGAAACAGCGACACAAGCGACTCGCGAACGCCCGAAGATGTACGAAGCGCTAGCTAAGCACACACCCATACACGCAGACGCGCCCGAGCACACACACACAAACACACATAGGCATACACAGCGGCATACGCGTAAATTCAAGTGCTGCAGTAAACAGACAAAACTCGAACGTGCGCTGTACCGTGACGCAATATGCGCGAAATGCCGGTGAAATATTTGTATGTATGAACGTCTTCGGTAAGCTAACGGAAATTGTCAAATTTGCATTAGTCTTTATACTCTTAGCATTAGGGACTCGCCAGTTTCGGCCAGCTCGAAAATATTTTTGTAAATACTTTTAATTCGAATAGGTCTAATGTGTATAAGAGCTTGGCTGCACTATTTATGAATTTTGAGTGGGCAACGACATATCGATTATTATCGATTCTTTTTTGGCTATGTAAATTGCAATTATTTTGGTCGCCAAATGTGTGTGCCTTGCACCACTTTGCGCACTGTGCCCTGTTGCGCACTGTCGACGCTCGGTTTGTGCCGTGGGTGGCTTTCGTTGGGGCTCTGCTGGCGTCGCAGCTAGCGTCGTACGGCTGCTGCAAATGTTTATCGCGCAGCGCGCTTGTGCAACTGGCTCTCTACACATTTATCGGTAACAGGATGCAAAGTTGATGCTCTGCACTAAATTCGCCTTGTGGCGAAATGAGCGAAAAATGTGTGTGTTTGTGTGTATGTGTGTGCCTGTTATTATGCATGGTTAGAGAGAGAGATGGTGCGGGGGTCCCTGCTGCCGTTGCCTGCAGGGCTTGGGCCCGACTGCGTATTCTTTATCGCTGTCAGCCGCATTGCGCGTGAGGTGGAGTGTGCGACAGGGGGGGGGGTGCTGCATTTAACTGGAACAACAGCAACAAATGCAAAGCCGCTGCCGACGTCGACGCAGGCGTTGAGCCGCCGCTGCTGCAGCGCTCTGTAGGTCAACTGATAAATTGGCGTGAAGAGACCAACACCAACCGAAAAGGCAACCCAAATGCAGCACCCACTGATAGTGCGCACACATATTAAAGCATGTATCTTGTGTACGTATGCATGTTTGTGTGCGTGCGTATTGAGTGTAGATTTGTTATTTGTGTTACGGTCGCTAGATGGCGCTGTTGTCCCTGCTTGCATTTGCTATTAGTGCAACACTTTTTGTTGTTTTCTTTTCTGTCATTGTCTTTTTGTCGCCTTTCCAACACTTTTGTGTTGTGGCCAACTTTCGAGCTGTTTGCACTTCACACGCAGGAAATAAATTTCAGTAGACCAGCACGCGTACCGACTAGATGATACCCTTTTATGTAAAGAAATTGTATATGATCGAAAGATCTGAGAAAGTCGCCATAAATAGTTGAAATAAAATTGTTCATTTCATATTCTCCATCTCCATTTTATGTTTAAAGGCGTTTGCATTCGAATATACCCCTTGCACTTCACAAATTGCAGGGTATTAACAGCAGCGGGCTCAACTTAAAGAATGTGCCAGTTTCTTGGAGGTTTTTTCGAACCACTTTTTACTTTCTAACCAGGCAGGAGGAAGTTATGAGAGACGTGTAAAAAATATTGCTATAGCTTCAGATAAATTTGAGTCTGAAATATATAATTTTCTTAAAAGTATTTAAATAGACTTAAATGGCAAACTAAAAAAATTAGAGTCTTTAAATTTAAGTGGTATATTCTCGTATATCATATACCTATATATCTCGCATAATATCAACTCTGCGAACTGATTTTTGAAGCCTAACTCAAGAAGCTACTGAATGGATTGGGAAAACATGGAAAAATTAAGGTAAAGCCCTGCGATTTGGCAGAAGCACGCTTTTGCATGCCCAATTGAAGGCCTGCTTTGATCTAGATCGGACAATGAGCACCGAGCTTAGACAAAAATTAACTTGGCTTGACTTCAGTTGCGTTTGATAGCGGGAAACTGATGCGAATTGGCAAAGAGCTTTTGGCCACGGATCGCGCAATTCTTGGCACATGCGAAGCTGGCTGGCGCCTTGGCGAATTGGCGAACAGCTGCCACTGGCTGGCTGCGGGTCGCATGGGCCACCCAATTGCCACCCATGGCAGGCGGACTTCCCATTGGCGCCTGGCGGCCAAGCGCCGGTTGGAGCGCATGCGTCGAACTGCTGGCCCAGAAGGCAGCACCCCGGTCCACCCCGGCCCGCCCCAGGGCCACCCTACCGACAACGGCTGGCAACGACCAATCGCCGCATTGCGTTTTTTTTCTTCTTCTGCTTGTGTGTGTGTGTGTGTGTGTGTGTGTGTGTGTGTGTGTGTGTTTTTCGCCTAGAAGCCCGTACCAAAAGATTTGGATTGTGGCTTCCGTTGTTGATAGTCGCGACGACTAAAAATAATTTCAGATGAGCATTTTAATTACTGGACGAAAAAGATAATGCGAATGCTGCCACAGCTGCTGCTGCTGCTGCTGCTGCTGCTGCTGCTGCTGCTGCTGCTGACGCCTATCAATAGCGACCTGTCATATCAGCGGGGCGCCACACTATTTGGGTCAGTCTGACCAAGAACACGCTCAAGATCTGGACGGATGCCCGCCTTTCGACTGGAAGTCAAGAGGTGGCCGACGCTTATCGCCCGACCATGCACACACACACACACACACGTACACACACACACACTCTCTTTCACACAATGGTCTTCTATATAATATGAATGAAGTTGAAAATCGCAATACCCGACATAAGGCAACAGAAACAACCAGCCAGCTTTGGCATGCCGCTGCCTAAATACCCTAGAAAAACTTTTGTGCACAAGCTTCAGTTGCATTACACGTTATAGTAGATCGCATTTGCATATATATATAGATATAGAGGTAGAAGATTCGTTTTTTCATATGCTAGAGTATATATAGTAGGCCGACATTGATCGGATTGTGGCACTCGTAATTGCTGAGTTTGATCAAGATATGCAAGTAGTACTTAAATATACAAGCTATACTAAAACCTCTTTTTCGACCGATTCTTTCCATAGATACTGTATATAATATAGAAGTTGATAAGACTTTGCATATATTTTGTATGCATGCTAAAACAATTTGGGGACAACATAACTTTGTAGAACCAAAAAATTGTATTATATAAGAACTTTAATATCGACCGATTCTTCCTATATATAGTTTTATGATATAGTACTTCAAAAATACGATGCAATATTTCAACGAAATAGGCTCAAAACGAAGAGATTCTATATCGATCGGGCACTTAATACTGCTCTTGAATATATATATATAAATATATATTTAATCGTAAATCGTTGCATGTGTTACGTACTTTGTCACATATTTAAAATACCCTACGGCAAGCGCATTACAGAAGGTTATCAGATATCGCGAGCTAAGGCAAAGTTAAGGCCAATGAAATTCACCACATATGCTGCGCGATGTCTGTTAACGGTGTTGGAAAACCGGCTGTCACAGTTTGACAGGCACTGTGCGCTTGCAAGCTTTTAGCCAAGTCAAGCGGCAGCTTTTCCGTTGGCAGCTTTGCAAAAGTCGCAAAGTCCACAGCAAATGCTCGTGGCGGCTTATCGACTGTCGCAACCAAGCGATTTTCCTGACAACCAAGTTAGCCACTTGATCAGCGGTTTAATTTGACATGCAAAACTAACTGCATACCCTGCATACTGAAAATGGGTATACTGGTTTTGTGCAGATGTATGTGACAGGCAGGGGAAGGCAGCTCAAAAGCTATAAGGTATACATTGTCCGTCCGTCCGTTTGAAGTATGAAGAAGTTTATCGCTTAGTTCATGTTATCGATAAATATCGATTCCCATGTCTAGTTTCTTCAGCATAACTCGAAGACTATGAAAGTTACATAAAGACCTCTGTTCAAATTCATTTGAGAGCTGTTTCACACCTTGCGGAAAATCCATGAACCCGGAAAATCCATTCAAATGAATACGTGTTTCAGCGATTTTGGAAGTTCCACCCGCAACAGTGGAAATAAAGTGTTAAGTGCCAAACATGCCAAGGGCAAGCTCGGTTGGTAGCTGTTGGTTAAATTATGATGCCACAATACCTGAGCGCAGAAACTTGGTAAAACTTTGCCCCAGTTCAATGGAAATTGTGAACTCGTCAAGTTTACAAAGTTCTTTCGAATTTTAGTTATGCATTTTACAGATAATAAACTTTTAAATACAATCAATTAAACTAATCTAAAAGCCAATATTTATGTGCTTCTTATCACAGCTCGAATTAATTGTATTCATTGTTGACAGGACTGTGAATGGACTTATTCCAAGCCATGTTAACGCGACGAGTGTAATGAATATACGTGAATAAATGTCAAATTGACCTAGTTAATTGTCGCACAGGCGGGGAGTGGGAGGGGTAGCTAAGTTGTTTCCAGAATCATTAAGTGTTATACAAAGCCATCAAGTCACATAACAAATTTCTACGTGTGTGTGTGTGTGTGTGGGTGTGTGTGATATGAATTGCGAGTGCACTCATTATAAATCCATCATAAGAGGTAAAGCTTTAAGCTCTTTGGGCTGCAAGCAAAACGCATTTTGTAAATCGTAATGAATGGATGATTCGCATAACACACTATTTAGTTTACTGGGAAAATGCATTCGCCAGAAAACCTGAATGTGAATCGTAACAACTGAAAAGCTCCAACGAGAGCAGCTGGTATTTATGACTGATGTCCCATTATGGCAATGCCAATAAGTATATTTCGAGTATTCAATTTATTCGCTTGCCAGCAAAATGGAAAACGAAGCATAAGCAAATATCCCATTCATACAAGCTGTACGAAATCGCATGCATTCACTTTGGCTATGCGTGAACTCAATTTATTCATGAGTGCTTTAACACTACTTAGAAATATATTCACTTTACATCTGTTCATACTTAGAATACGATATGGCGAATGGGTGCACTCATTTTATTCATGAGTGCATTTAGACTATTCACAAATACATTCACTTTTCTTATATGCAACAATATTTATCG